CGTTTGAAATCAGACACTTTGGTCTATCTAATGGTGAAAGAATTAGATCTCTAGCACTTTCTGTTGAAATATTACAGGCCTCGAGATTTGTGCCAAGACTTTTACATCAGTCATTATAGATGTGAAGCACATAGAAAAATGAAAACTGAATCTACTAAAAATTTTACTACAATTTTATCATACAGTGTGTGTGCGTATTCGATTAAAAAAGAAATTTCTTATATATCAATCTTAACAAAACATGATCTTCATTTTTTAGGCTATACTAAATATATTTGGCGTCCATTATACAAAAATTTATTTATTAAAAAATCTTCGCATGATCCTCTTTGGTTACGATTAGCACAATATTTTCTATTAGAAATAATCGATGATATTCTATTATATACAATTCAACATGGAAATGCAATAATACTTGATTTATTTCTTAGTGATCGTATTCTTCATTTACCATTATTAGAAACATATTTAATCGATACATTACTTTTTCGTAAACAATTATCAATTGATATTGTACGAACAATACTTATTTATTTAACAATGTCAACAAATCGAATAGAAAAATGTTTTGAAAATGTATTTCAACGTTTTTTAACATTATGGTCACAAGAAAGTTTTATTCGATTTTCATCAAATAGTCAACATTTTTATATATGTCAATGTATATGTATATGTTTATCACTTAATAAACAATTAAAATTAAATGAAGATAAAGATAAAATTATTATATCTGTATTAAATGGTATTCGTATACATATTGAATCAACATTTGATTATATTAGAAGACGTGGTCAATTTATAGGAGAATTAATTATTCAACGTATTAATCTATTTTCACCATCAAATCAACTTCATTTTGATACGTACGATAAAAATCATTCAGAAATTCAAATACTAACTAAATTAGCTGAATTAAATCATTCACTAAACGACAGAGAATTATCTGATGATGATGACGATGAAAAAGAAAAAATTCGTATGAAAAAAGGTCAGTCTACAATTACAGAATATCTAAATCTATGAATATTGCTTCCTAGATTTAATCTTTAATCATGATTTGACATTTTCCTTCGTCCTCAATCGCTCAGTATAGTGTGGATCAATAGAACACAATCACAGCCCACTCATTTTCATAGTTTGCATGTAAAATCTTGTTGAGAAAGAAAAAAAATTGAACTCAAAAACTTTTTAGATAGCTTGTCTGTATCATTAACATTAATTCTATTTGCAATCATTAAGAAAATACGAATGATTTTTCTTTGATATAAATCATATTATAATAGAACGAACGCATTGTTGAAATTATTCACGAATATTTTCGAAGACAATAAGTTAATGAAATTAAGTTTTCGGTGATTATTATTAATAAAAAAATTCCAGAACTTAAACATACTTGTGACTGAAATTTATTCAAAAGATAAAACTCTAAGAATTCTAATTGATATTTATTGTTGTTGGAAACTGTATGAGATGATGAATGATCCTTTTACAATCGATTATAATAGAATCATTCAAAAGCTCATAGAGGTTTGCCACTTTCAAATATTGCTAAAAAAATTGAATCATCATGGACATGCATGTAGTCAAACAATGTTTAATTCTATGTTTTATGAATGGAATAAATTTGAAAAACAAAAGATTAATTAATTAATCTTTTTTATTTGATCCTCATATTGTTAATCGAAAAAATGAAATTGATGTTACCGTATTGTTCTATTCTAAATGTTAATCTTTCAAATATAGTGTTCATTTTCTATGAAGGAAACATATGTGATTATATTAGATTAGATTTGACTAAAAAAGATTATTTTCGTCATCTCTTGATTTTTATTATTTCTATTATGATACAAGTTCTTCATCATATATATATTACTATTTCTATCGAATTATTTTTATTAGATAAAAAAAAAAAATACTTGCCGGATGTGCTATGAAATGTATTATTTCCTATAATAAGAAATCATCAATGAATAAAAATAATTCTTTTGATTTTTTAGAAACAATTTTACCGAAATCTGAAAAACTGATATCCACGACAAATACAATTGTTCTTCATGATGCATCGAAAGATGATGATGATGATGATAACGATAGTGAATTTGAATCGTATGATTATTCTCATGATAAAACTAAACCTGATGTAGAAAAACCTACATATATTCGGACATGTCTTGCTGATTTAATAGCAACAGATAAAATATCTCAATTAGAAGCTGCTTTACATGTATTACCATCGTTAATTGAAATATATAAAATTGAATGTGAAGAAATTGCTTTAGAATTAGTTCGAATATTATTAAATTATAATAGTACATTTAATATAGAAAAATTTGAAGAATTACAATTAAATGGTTTAATAACGTTATGTAAAAATTATCCATTATTAATAAGTGATTATTTATGTAAACAATTTTATGAAAGAAATTATACATTAAATCAACGAAGTCTTATACTTAAAACAATTCAAGAAACAGCAAAAAAATTATCACAAATTGAACAAATTCAAACGAACATTCATAATGAATTATTTTCCTCCTCTTCTTCTTCTTCCGA